CATTCATTTCATATCATTTGAAAACATGGAATTGAAGCATGTCGGCAGTAAATATTAACTATCTTTAACGGTGTCATTGATCTTCTACTTTTACCTCTTATTAGAATATCAGGTCTGCGTACCCCAAATGAGAAAATATGATTATGTCACAGTCATAATATTTGACGCTAGATTTAATGAAATGAAATAAAATCAGAATTTGACCAGATTCACAGAATTCATCCTTTCCACATCTTTTGAAATCAACTTCCGATCTATAGCCTATTTTCGCGGAGAAAAATCAAAACAAAATCGGTCAAATCGTTGTGCCATGTTTATGGCCGATCCGATGGATAAAAATAAAATGACCGAATGAGGATGTCGAAAATGCCGACTTCAAACTGCTGTTTTTCGGAAACGGATAAAAATTTCGATTGATTCCATTGCTAAGAAGTGATTTCATTGGAATTATGGAGAGCTTTTAAATCTTTGTCAGATTGCAACCTGTTTCAATACCTCCTAAAAAGCCTTTTTTTTTTCACATACGCTGATACTTTTCAGACTTTCGACTTAGAATTACTGAAAACAATCTTCCCATATTTGATGGGCTTTCCGGCATCATCTCTGTAAGCACTAAGTAAAGGGATTTTGCACCTGACATGTATAGGTGTCTCCCATCTTAAACCCACACAATCCCGTTTTGTTTTTCGTTGCAACCAACCTACAAAATCGAAGACTCTCCTTATCATACACTGTCTTTATTAGCACTTTTAAGAGCAGATAAATAGAGAAAGGTAGGTCTCCCATCTCTTTCTCATTTCATTTCGACAGAAAACGAGTTGTGCAAACGATGACCTTGTTAAGAGTAGCTAAAATCATTTCAAATTAACTCATATATATTTTTCCAATGATTTCATTTCCGATTATTCCGAATGTAATTAGTGATGTTAAAACTTTAAGGGTCCCATTGATGATAATTTGTATGTAATTTGTTCATGTTTTGTGGTGTCGTGCTCCATTGAATCTTTTATTAGATACATCATCAAGTATCAATGAAACATTGTTTATTTGTTTACAAGAAAAATATCTGATGCCAATCGCACGAAAAAATTAATCGCAAAACGAGTAGTGCTTGAAAGGTAGTTAGTGATGTATAGACGTTCTGTTTAGCGTGTCGTATAGGGTTCCATATTGGTGTGTTGAGGTTATGTTAAGAATTATAGAGGGTTTTGTAAAGGGGTTTGCTGTACAGGTGAATCTGTAACTGTTAGTGCTGTATTCGGATCTGTAAGTTTTTTTTATATAGAATATTATAACGCGGGTGCAAATTTAAATGATATTTTTTGATATATTTATAGCCAAGTCGTAGTGGAGAGATTGATATATCCTCAGCACTTTAAATGCCATTTATTTTGAAAGAACAGTTTAAGATATTTGCCTGACTAAGAATAATCATAGTCTATCGAAATCATTAACTTTTCAATCATTTGCAGTAAAAACCAAATTAATTCTTAAAATGGAGCTTTCCTTTGCATGGCACATACCTTCCTATGTATATTTTATTTGCGCTTCAACGAACATTAATAAGATGAGTGAAAAGTCGATAAAGACGTTTTAAAACAATATATATATTGTTCATTTATATAAAATATCACCTAAAATCATTTATATAAAATATCACCTAAAATCATTTATCACCTAAAATCATTTATCACCTAAAATCATTTATATAAAATATCACCTAAAATCATTTATATAAAATATCACCTAAAATCATTTATATAAAATATCACCTAAAATCATTTATATAAAATATCACCTAAAATCATTTATATAAAATATCACCTAAAATCATAAACTACGAACGAATAACTTTATTTTATTTACATGTTCGTTATCATATTATTCGATGCTGCTGGTTAAGAAGTTTAGTTACACATTATTTATATACAATAACAAAATAATTTCACAGTTAAAATAGTGCTCAATACCCCAATTCTAGGGCGATATAGAAATACCGTAGTTAAAATACTGCTCAAAACCCCACATGTAGGGCGATATAGAAATTTCACAGTTAAAATAGTGCTCAATACCCAAATTCTAGGGTGATATAGAAATACCAGTTAAAATTGTGCTAAATACATCAATTGTAGAGAGATATAGAAATTCCACTGTTAAAATAGTGCTCAATACCCCAATTCTAGGGCGATATAGAAATACCACTGTTGAAATTGTGCTTAATATCCCAATTCTAAGGCAATATAGAAATACAACAGTTAAAATTGTGCTCAATACCCCAATTCTAGTGCGATATAGAAATACCACAGATAGAATTGTGCTCAATACCCCAATTCTAGGGCGATATAGAAATACCACAGTTAAAATTGTGCTTAATACCCCAATTCTATGGCAATATAGAAATACTATAACAGTTAAAATTGTGCTCAATACATCAATTGTAGAAATATATAGAAATTCCACCGTTAAATTAATGCTCAATACCCCAATTCTAGGGCGATATAAAAATACCACTGTTAAAATAGTGCTCAATACATCGATTCTAAAGCGATACAGAAATGCCACTGTTAAAATAGTGCCCAATATACATCGATTCTAGAGCGATATAAAAATACCACTGTTAAAATAGTGCTCAATACATCGATATAGAAATACCACTGTTAAAATTGTGCTCAATACATCAATTCTAGGGCGATATAGAAATGTTGAAGTATAATGATTAGTATTTCTATTATTTCTGGTACTTCTGAAGACTATTTATATATACGTCTGTCTTTGTATGACAATCTCAGCTATTTGGATTTTTGAAAAGCAGTAGAAACACAATAAGGTACACTCGGATATGCTTAACTATGAACATGTCGAATAATCGGCTCATATTTTTGAAAATGAAGTTCTGTATTGGTTAGTTCTCGATGGACGAAAGATAAAGTTTAGGCTTCCCTTTAAACATTTAAGGACTCATAAATGACAAGAAACAATAATTTTCTTTAACTAGGATTAGCCGGATTAAAAACTAATTAAGTCATAAGAATGGAGGTCATGTTGAACCCAATCCATTGTTACATTATCTATAATTATACCTCGTATCAGATGCTTGATTAATGAAGGATCGCTGATTAATCCATGTTATGTATCTTACAACGATACACAGTCATATATATACACTAGAACTCAATAGTAAAGTTTGAAATGTGGTGGTTTGTTCCTTAAAATTCCGAAATCATAAAGATAAAATAAATTTTATTTGGCAAAAATTTCAAAACTTTGCGACGAAGAGGGTCACAGAATTGTCAATATGAGCTCACGGGCAATTTTTTCTCCATTTCAATTATTTGAGTTTGAGAGTAGTGAACAAAAGTCGAACCAGCCATGCCTCACACCCTTGACCAAATTGATTCGGTAAAAAGGACACTGCTACATATCTTCAACAGAACGTCGTTTGTAAACGATGCCTTGGAAACATAACTTTTGTAATAATACAAGACGTCATTTATCTTTATAAATCCGATTTAATCTTCCATCGATTCGAATTCTTCTATTCAACGATTGTTTATTTCTGAGACCCTCTTTAATTTGCAATACCCCAGCATCGTGTGACGTGTGACGTCAGACCTTGTATTATAAAACTTTGATGAGATAATTATAGGATAATCAGCCACCAGACGACACTTGATACATTGTCGCCATCTTTTCACAATAAATTGTCTCCACCTTGACAAAGTAACATCAAATTTTAATCAGCCATCACATTTCCAAGTTTATTTGATATCAAAATTATGAAACGATTGAATAGACAAACTCTACTATATCTAATTAAAATCCTGAGTCAAGGCACGTAGATTGGTGAGGTAGAATGGTCGTGAGTTCGTCCCACTTTTCCACATATTTTCGCTTTGCTGTATATGGTTCATAAAGGATTGGAGATGCATGAAAAGTAGTTTAAATCAATTTATCTTAATTCCCAACTTTAAAATTCACTTAGTTTTCCCACATGATAGCGCTTCTATTCTGAGTGGAGACAGCACTACGATATTTAAACATATCATCAGCAAGTTTTGTTTTTGCCAGTAGTAATGGGCGTTTCAAAAGCTCTTTTTATGCTGCCAGTACATGCTTTTATATATAATATTTACCTGAACAAATGGCTATAGGGTACAATTATAAGATAAGACATTGGACAAGAGGAAAATGACGGTTCCATAGTGTTTCACCTTACAAAAGTTATAATAGTGTCTGATAAAAAATAAATGGTGATTTTGTTGAGCCTGATATGTTGTCAGATTTTGATCTTTATAATTTTTTTATGACCAGTAATGTAGCAACGCCTTAAGATATTTTATCTTTTATCTTTTCAGTTTGTAAAGAAACTAAAACATATACAAGACGTTCTAGATCATGAAATAATATAACCGATTATGAAGTAGACAACCGATGGATACCAGAAGATACCAAAATCTACTAGGACAGTGATCTTGTGGATCTTTGCATTTGATTTCATTTGTCACCAGCGGAAGTTCAATCTTGAACTTAAATGATTTAAATTAAAACTTAAAAAACGAGTTGAAGAGAGAAGTTTTAAATATTGTACTGCACTTTGTGACTCGAAGAATCTAATTCGATCCGTGACGAGTAGACGAGGCCATCATACTACCAGTTGACTGTTGATTCTTAATGAAGTGAAGTGTCTGTTTCTTGATGAAGTGTTGTCTGTTTTTTAAATATATTTTCATAATAAAACTGGACCAATAATAAATACGGACAATAGACAGAGGGCTTATATTGTGATCTTATGAAGAAAAAGCAGAAAGAACTGGCACGGGTTTTGACATAGTTGAACATCGTAAAATATACTACACAGATGTGCTTTTTTATAATAATTGATCTTTCGTCGAATGTTTATATATAGTTTTAACCTCGATCACATTCCAGTATTGATATGTTAAGAAATTGGCCGGCAATCTCTTGCATACTTTAGAGTCAACTTATCGACGAATTTAAACATGGAGATGTGCCGAAACTGGGAAGGTGTGTACCAAGTAGACGCGTTTAATATCATATCATGTACAATGTGTTATTTTTATCTTTTCCAAAATAGTAAGGAATTAAAGAAACCCCAGTTTGTGAACAACAATCTTGTTGCTTATAACGGAACAGTTTTCCCCGATCACACTTTTCTATACCCAAATATCAATAATAAAACAATAGTGAATTTAATTTGTCGAACTTTAGACGAGTATGATTGCCATCGTTGGACTTCCTGTTGTATCAATGCCCAGAAATGTTGTTCCAGGCAACTTTCAACTGGAAATTACACCGGATCTGGACGATATTGTCCTCGAACATGGGATGGTTTTGGATGTTTTGATGATACTTTAGCAGGTGATGAAACCGTGATTAAATGTCCAGAGTATATTGAGCATGGCAATCCTTACGGTAAGATCAAATTATATAGTTAGGTGACTGAATGCAAACTGATATTTCCAAACGCACATTTATGAATACGTCACCATTTTATTATTTTGATATTTTGACTTATTCTCAAAATAATAAACTTAACTCAAAAACGTGAACACCATATATTTTCTGTAAACAAACCTTATAAAAACCACATTTCTGACATCTATAGAAATAAGCTAACCTACTGCTACATTTATAGAATATGCTTTGAATGTGTTTTCATGGGTGATTGCTGCCTTTGGCTATAGGATGGTTTTCCCAGATATCCCCATAGAGACCACTTGACTTCTGATCCGGCCACTCTGGGAAGGCATATGCTGTATGAGGAATAGTGTTCTTTAACCCAAACGAGATTGATATCCGTTGACCTTTTTTACCGCCATGGCCACTACCGACAAAAGAGAACGGTTGATTCCATGATTTATTTATATATTTTTTTTTAAATCTATTTCGTTTTTTGATATAGGATATTGTTTTTATAGGAGATCAACAGTCTTAAAGCGCACAAAAATCAGTTGAGAGAGCTTTATTTCCACAATCTTTCTTTCAGAACTCTTTAGTCCTACATTAAGCTCAATTTAGCACAAATAACGATTAAGTAATCCTATTTGGAAATTCATTTAGATTTGCTTTAGAATTAGCAACCAATCTGATATGAAAGTTGCTGAACTGATGATGGCCCCTGGTCATTTCGTCCGTATACTGACGAATTTTATTTCTAGTTAAATTCTTCCATTCCGTTGACCCCGAGTATGATTTATCCATCATTGGAATGAAATTACTAAAGAACTAGAGATAAATGATTATACAAGTGGCATGGGTGATCACTAAATTGACGTCATTATATCGGACAAGTCTAATAACTGCGTTATTAAAACCCTATCAAAAACCAATAACGTTGGTATTACGGTTATATATTCTATAGTCAAGTGGCTCGAATCTCACTTTTAATTTTCCGCTATTTTCACCTTGGTTCTCTCATTATCGACTTTCAAGATAGTCAGATATTAATACCTAATATTATATTAACCTCACAAGTCTTGGAAAATCGAGGCATTTTGCTGTTCACTGTGTGAATTTTAATATCTTGTATTGTGTCGTCACGAATAGGAATTGACTTTCAAGTATAATAATGGGGTTAAGGGACGACACAAGTCAGAACATTAACGGACGTTAGTTGGATGTATTTTCCTTCAAATTTCCTTAGGAATAGACATAATTTTGTTGACAAAAACTCCCGGACACTGGGACTCTTCCAATCGACAATATTGTAACCAATAACTAATATTGATACAGACAGTTCCTCGCAGCCTTGTTTCAGTCACCATTTCACTCTTAACTGTATTGTCACTTCAAGAAAGAACCCCAGGAGTTAATAGCCAATATAGATCAAATTCTTATATCTCTTCAAATTTGTTCAGATTTCAAAAGTCGTTTTGAATGGTGTTTTTTGTGTGCTACATCAACGTTCAAGATTTTGTACAAGCGCTCAAAAAGCAATTAGAAGATATCGTTCCACCAGCTCCTTGCAGTCTTTGATGTTTAGCATTGACTTACACGCAAAACAAACTATCATTGAAGTTATTTTTAATTCATATTTTGTCATATTAAATTCGATACAGCGACGTGAACTCGTATTCATTTAATTTCAAAAAAGTGATCTGCGTGATACTGCTTAAAATATGAACAGATTGGCTTGAGATAGGATGAGAAACTTGGTTTCACCACCTTTACACCAATGTTGTCAACTGTGCAACATGACGACCTGGCAAGCAGAAGTTTCTTACCCCATTCCCTTTGTGACAAAATACCATTTACTTAGAATCACTAATTAGCTCCTTGTTTCTCATCAGCATATATTTCATATTTTGAACTATCGGCTTTTCGTTGTGAAGAATCGCAAATCACGCTAATTATTTCCCTAACTTCCTTTTTTACTTTCTGATTTTCTAACAAGTGCATCAGATTGATGAGCTCTACAAACAATCGTTCAACTTCAGCATCTATCTTTTTCCCCCTTCACTTTTTATTTTGTACCTCGTATTTCCAATTATTTCTTTCCAATATGCATTATGATTTGATCGTTTAAACTGTATAAATGGATAATCGTGGTGACAGATATCATTATGTGTCCATTTATCTGAAATCTCAAACTATGAGAAATTATGAGAAACTATGAGTGGAAATAAAAGAATACCCCCCTTTAAGATGTTATCAATAAGGCCCCCTTTAAACTTTCATGTATATTGGAAGCCACTCCAATCAGTCCTTGACATAAACTTATTATGTTTACTTTAACCGATTCCTAAATGTTTATGTTGATCAGCGTTAACCCGATTTGACAAGTTCCTGTTCTATATTGTATAAAAATGATTAAAGTATAAGTGTGATATTGAACCTACTATAAATCAGAATATTAATATAGGGGTGTCTAAGATTTATTGGCCGTCAAACTAATAAAAAAGTCAACCCAGTAACATTTTAAAATAATGGAATAAAAGCCCAATTTACCCCCAATTCCAGAAGCCGATTGCAGACTTCTTGAAGATAATATTCTTATCCTTCATGAATGTACGTCAAATATTTAGATTGATTTGTGATGTAAACCGAAGTCAGTTATATTTATTTGTATGGCATCGGCAAGATTTCAAGATTTGACGTTATGTTTTTGTTCTTTTTTATTATTGAGGGCTGAAAGCTAACATCATCGAATTTTATGAAAAATGACTCCTTCGAATGGAAATAACATTAAAAGAATTCCAATACTCTGCATTATTGCCAGATCTGGAGTCAAAAAGTCGATCTATGGTTGTACTACTTAAATTTAAATATTACCTTTAAATACATAGAGAACACAACCCCCATGTTCCGATAAAAAAGGCATTTTCCTTGAGATTTATAAACCATTCAGTTTAATAAAAAAAAATGAGAGATAGTGATATTAAAACAAAGAGGACACTTATCTGAAGATGTGAAGACAAGTAATGGGTATACAAATCATGTTTTAAGTATGGTATAAAATACTGCTTACAGGCATTTTACATTAGATAATACTATTATCGCAAATAATGTCCAAATACTGCCGCTGATAAAAATCACTTCCACATTACAAACGAGACATTGTCTGCCAAGAAATATCAAAAGGAAATTTGAGAGTAAATTGATGTGTTTCGCGTTCCTCTTTCTTTCAAACTGGGAGATTTTATTTGGATCTTGAAACTAGCAATATATCATTTTGATGTGAATTGTCGACAGTGTTGTAGCTGAAAGGCATCCGCCTTTGTCATCAGGTCGCATTTCCAGGAATTTAATTTGATCAGTTTCTAATATTGTCTGGAGTAAGTCTTGAGATAATTCCCGAGAAGGAAATGGAGAATATTAAGATATGTCGAAGCTCTTGAAGATCAGGGGTCTGTCTGTAATATGAGGTGTAGGGATAGATTGAAACCATAACCTCAAGTTATTCTGCTCCCTTCTATTTTAGTGATTTCTATTCCCCAGGCCTTAAAATTTTGATCCCCTATGCCTATCAAGGAAAATAAGAATCTATTGCCATTTGTAAGACAAACGAGACATTTTAAATAAACCTCTGGCTGGAATTGCTGTGCTGGCTGACAAAACACAGATACTATCAGTAATTAATGACTGACAATTGATTACTATAATTTCTAGTTTTTTGACTATTGGTTTTGATCTTAGATAGATCATGCTATTGATGTCTAGACTAAATCAACGATTTCTTCCTCTACAGTTTAAGCCGTAAAACCCTATCATCGTTGATCAGGTATATAGTTAAATCTAGTTTACACGGTCCGATTTTCTTTCTATAAGCCGTGTTCTTGTAAGCTGAAGAATCAGTATTGTTACATGCTTTTTTGGAAATTGGTAGCGATCATATTTATTACCATTTTAATGAACAAATTTATTATTATATTTATTAATCTTTTGAAATTCTTTAAATAGTATTATCTGCAATCATAATAATATGACCGATTTTTGACAAGACCTTTACCATCAAGAAACTATAAATACCGGATTCTTTATTTCTCTATTTCCCCACTTCTGATTAAAATTCCTACACGTTGAGTCATTTCTTATCTGTTTTGAATCCAAAATGATGTGTTTATATTTATCTCGAGGTTAAGTTAAAATCAAGTACCGGTACTAAAAGTAATATGTAGGTGAAATATGTCTCTAGAAGTTATTTTATAGCAATAGAATAATCTTTTGTACATTTACAGCTGATGCAGTGAAGAATTGTAATAATAATGGAACCTGGTTTCGAGATAAGATAACGGGAAAGGAATGGACTGATTATTTGGGCTGTGTTCAAATTAATGTAAGTTGTAACATTTGTATATATTAAGTACAAAGTTATCAAATATAGCTTTTATTGAAGCTGATTTGTAGAGTCAGACATTCGATAAAATCGACAGCAAAACTAGACTTTTCAGAAATATTGATGAGAAAATCGAAAACAAAATATTCCACTTTCACAGCCAAAAATCGCGAGAGATGCATTCTCCACCCTCCTAGATCTCTGACCCCCCACCACTACTAGTACCCTCTAAAATCAAAAATTGGAGCCGAGTCGCTCCGCCCTCTCCGATCAATGAAATCTTGGCTACGCCACAGAAAGCTACGTTTGAAATCGACTTTATTGATTGACAAATCAGATGTAGAAGGTTTTGGCATAAAAAAAAACCTTAAGATTATTTGTGAACATGAACCCAGATATTATTTTTTTTTAGGAATATAAAGTGTTATTCCAAGTTGGTTTAATCTGTAATATTATCAGTATTGTTTTACTCGTTCCTGCCTGTGTTGTTTTCTTGTATTATAGGTAAGTGTGGACGTCTATCATAGTGGGCGATATTAAGCATACTTGACCTCGCTATACACAGTAAATAATGATAATACCTATAAGGACGAGACGGTGATAAAATGCTTTCCGATCTTTGACTAACAGAGACGAGAGAGCGACCAATAAGCTTCCAATATTATTTCTGCAATCTACTGACAAAATTTACAAATTGAGCTCCATTACCACAATGGAAATGTTGGTTCACATAAAACGTTATGTATGATGGTGTAAACGATTTCATTGTTCAGCCAGACGATATTAACAAATTGGACGATAGTATTTGCTGTTATTGATGGCAGCTATCAGAGTAATGAATTAATACATTAATTACATATATGAAGTAATGCCAAATCTTTTGGTATATATTTACAGCGAGAGCAACATGTTACTTAGAATTTCAAGAAAGTTATTTTCTATAAGTCCGAACGATACCGTTTTCCATATTCGCATTTCAATTCAGCAAAACTAAACTTCGACTGTTCTTATAATTTTCGGAATAATTGAACCTAGTTCGTCTACAATCAAATTGAAACGCATCAACAGAACCGTTTCAGTATCGTAATATCGTGCCTCAAAGAACAGATAGAGAAATTTTTTTTGATTTGATCATTTCACAATATCGAAATTTAAAGTAAAGCAGTTTGCTACAATGCACCGAAATGAATCTGGGAAAATTATAGGTAATAAGACATGGATACTGATCATGAACAGTTCAATAGAATATAATAAAGATGTAAATTGTATTGTGGTGGAAACATGGTCGTTAATTTAGAAGAATGTTTTACACGATTTTTATCAAGAATATAAAAAAGATTCAATTATCGTCGCAGCATTCAGCGCTGATTTGAAATCTTTAAAGACTTTTTCTTCACTTATTTCTTTTTATCATAGTTTTATAATAGGCGGAAGTGTCTGCAGAACGCTGTGGAACACGTGATATGTCGTGTTTTCAGCTATTTACTAACTTTTACTGACGATTTTGAAATAATGAATCACCTTTATTACCCTGAAAAGCAAAAATAACTCTTCTGAGACGTGTGTCTTATTTTCTATTATTTGAAATACAAAAATAAAAGGGAAAACCAATAATATTTTTAATGTTTCTGAGCGCTATTTATGTTATTAGATGCATTTTCAGATCAACCACAGCTTGACCTCTTTTTTGCAATCCCTGTATTTCTACATCACATTGTCCAGAAAACTTCCTTGGCCACACCATAAAGAAATGTTTACATTCGGGCATCGGTCGCATGCTCGTATGCTTGATTTTTATTGGCGTGCCAGATATTGCAACATTGTTGATGTTCATTTTAATGTGGAATGTGGCCTTCGACATCTCATGACATCGTATTTTGAGTAGCTCAAATGAAGTTGAATTAAATTTGAAATAAATTTCATATGTATTGTATTTTGCTGCCAATAATTTACAATCAGCATTTATCCACATTCGTGTGGTAATCTTGTGTTAATATCGAACAGTGTGACGCTTGCTTTGTGTGACTTAAATTAACTTATTTCAAAATAACAAAACTCAGGACTTTGATCTTTTGCCTCATTCAAGCGAGAAACCAATTTCTCTCCGACCCGACGGGAATATCTTGTGTCTATTTAATTGATATTTTTCTGATTCGGTCTGGTGAATCGTTTGAGATTTTAACACACAAAACGAAAATAAATACTGCATGTTTAAATGTAACAAGTGCATAAAACATTATAAATAAATAGGGATAATATCTTCGGATTTTTCAGTCCGGTTTCCCCCTGTCAGTGATGCAAGTAAGAGGGGCTGTCGTTCGGATGGGACAATAAACCGAGGCCCCTGGGCTACACACTGTGCACGCTAAAGATTACTCGACAGTTGGAAATCGAAAAAGAGCAGGCTAATGCTGCTGTTCTGGCAAAATTTCCCTCATTACACTCGTGGCATTGCCCGTCTTCATTAGCCCACGTGGTGCAGAAAAGTTGAACGTAAAACTCCATTCATTTCATTTCTGCTTGAAATTGTTTAAATTGTGTAATTCATCTCAATGTTAAGATCAAGCCAGGAATCCTAAGATTAATTTATGCAAAAATGTAGTCGCTAATGGGCGCGTCCATTAATTATAACATAAAACTACCGATATTTTGGGTCGTTTTGATCAATACTGTAGTTCTAAAGGGGATAAATTGAAAAACTTCAAAATAAGTTCGTGTGTAACATTTGAAATCAGTGGTGTCACACTGCTGATTTACTGTGCATTGACGACACATACGTGTATTTCTTTTATTGCAGACAACTTAGGGTCCAGCAAAGGATTAAACTCCATATTTGTTTGTTTGTATCGTTTGTATTTACCAGTGTAGTGATGATATTATGGGATGTATTGGTATTTAATGATAGACTAACCAACGCTGCTGCTTTAACCGTCATGTATCAAGACCCCGTGAGTATTCGACTGGTATTAAGAGGGAATACCAAGACCATAAGTATATGTTTCACAGCTGTCAGATACTCTTTATTCTCGATAATCTTAACTACATTGTTAAAAATCCGTCCAATTGAAATTGGCCTTCCAGAATTGCCATGATGTTAAAAATGAAATTAGTATATCTAATGACTTAAGAAATTGCTTTTATATTCATCATACTGGTGACAAATATTGAACAACCTATTATTGGCGACTGTCATGTTTGAAATATCTGTCACTTAGGGTTTTTTTTTCGATGGAAATTTATAGTTTCCAACAGTTATTTGAATAAATGTTTTCGATTTCATGTTGGAGGAAATAGTGTAAAGGTATTATAAAAAAAAAAACATCTTAAAAAGTTAATTCGACAAATTCGTGATGTGAAATCTTGGCGATATTTCCGAGCCTCGAAGGAAAATCAACCAGAAATAAACAATAAAATTCGTTTTTAAGCATATATGTCAAAGCATTGGTCAAATGGCAAGGCATTGGTCAAATATCATTCTTCTCGACTCTTCCATGGTTTTCTTGTATTTCATTGCAAGAGTTATGTTATGGTATGTGTAATTTCTGCGTTTCAGCCTGGCTGTAGAGTGTTGTATATTTTAACCCGGTATGCGTTATCAACAGCCTACGTCTGGATGTTTTTGGAAGGCTTTCACCTGCATCGTCTGATTGTTAAGGCTTTTAAAGTTCCCAAATCCATCATACATTACCATTTCATTGGCTGGGGTAAGTAATCAATAGTAAGCCCAAAAGACCCTACGCTTTTTGACCTAATTAAATTGTCATGTTAGCGCGAATAAAGCTAGAGTTGAACACATTTGAAAACATCTTTTGCATATTTAGATGCTTGAAGCTGATAATGTTTTATTTCCTTGACTTCTGAAAAAGCCTTAAAGTATGCTTGTTAGATGGAAACAGATGGAAATAGTGGGGCTAATGAATAAAAACTGCAGTTTTTTCATCATAAAAAGTCTTAAATTGTTACAAATAAAGATTTCAGAATTGGAAGGATAATCTCCATGGGTTTCATTTAAAAAAAAAATAGCTTTACGACGGCATCCTGTGTCAATATTCACAAGAGAAATCTCAAATGCTATACAAAAAGTGTAATGGTGAATTTCATCTCTCTTTTTTGAGGAATAAGACTCGAGGGTATAAAATCATGTTCACGGTTGATCTTCATTTACTGAACCCAGACTTATTTTAATCTGTAAGGAAGGAAAAACATTTTAACAAATCTTGGTCGTAATAGAAATAGATTGAAGAAATATTTCATTTACTGGAAACGAATTTCTTTAATCCAAAGTTTCAATTGAACAACTCATGCATTGTATAACACTTTATCAACCTTCCCTTTCTACTACAATTGACAAATTCTATTTTATTTTCTACAAAAATTACAATTTTAACGCTTTTTCTAATTGAGTGGGATATCCGTTCCAATTACATGCTCCTAAAGTAATTTATAAAATCGAATGTAATCTTGTTTTTTACAATTAACATTTTCAGTGAGTGTTATTTATTGAATTTTCCACCTCTATAAAAGTATGTGTGTGTTATAAGGATAGAGGTTAAAAAAGGTTAAAATTTTGAATGAGGTTTGGTTTGCTGATAGTGATCATAAAATCTCTCAAAAACACCTATAACAAAATGTAATTGGATATCACCAATTAAGGTATCTTGAGATCTTTGCATTAAAGGGATTTATGATTTGTATGTGTATCGGGAACACTATTGTGTGTACCATTTTGATTTCTCTTGCTATGTTCTTGGTTTCAGTCTTGAATTGTATTTACCAGACTATAACGAGAAAACCAACAAAACTATATTTGTCATACTTTGGAAAATTGTTTTTTAGTACACTGGAATAACAGTCATGGTATTAGTTATCGAAAATTTTCTTTAAGAATAATCAATTTGTACATCTTTTGAAATGAATGTCATTAATAGTTTTATTTTTATGAAATGTGGGTGTATATTTGGTTTGTTGAAGTTTGTGATAGAAACTTGATGACAGTGTTGTTGAGAGTAATCAATTGATTGACGTGATTTGTTCTGAGTTTATACCGGAAAACGGTTCTTCAACTGACAAGACCTGAATTTACTGTTGTAATACTCAACAAATATTGGTTTTTTGTTTGACTGTAATAGAGATCATGAATTAAAGAGGCCAAGTTCCGAAATACATTTACAATATAACCATGATCCGAATAACCGTAGATATCAGTTATCATATACATTATATGTGAAGTGTTGAACCTATTCAGTCTCAAATTGCTGGTGTCTCCTGTATTTTTCTTATGCAGTTTAGACAGCATTTGTTTTTTTCATCGAAATAAATTTGTTCAATAAAAGTATTGAAAACTTGAGGATTGAGTGGAAAGTTTATATAGGTCAGAAGGTTAAAACGTTATATAATTGTATTGTCATCTGCATAATTCCTAAAGAATTATAAAAAAAATGTCTTTATCCAAGATATCAAAATCCCCACTCTATCATTGTCTCGACTCCATTAAATTCATGTCGTTTTCTAATTTTAAAATCCAACAATCTTGCTCACAGAACATATACAATCTGAAGTCTCATCAATCAACAGTTGGGCCAATGTTAATTTGCTTAAAACTATATTTTACTGATAATTGCACAGGCAATTTTCATTTCAAGCCAAATACATGTATACCATTTTAAGTGAGAATTTAACTTGCTTGGTAATAAATATTACGAGTTTTTTTTAATGTTAAATGTAGTGTTGAAAATCGTACGACTGGTTCTAATTTATTTTAAAATAATGTAAGAGTGGAATTCGGTATCCGAATTTCGATTGTAATTTGTTGGACAGAGAATACCCCTTCGTGTAAAGCCTTCCGCCAGTTTAGGACGTCCAATCCCCATGTCAACAAGGTAAATCGTATTGGCAATCATTTCTGGTTTTCGGGTCACCAAAACCTTGTTGAAAAGATCAGAAAGAAGAAAACAATCTGTTGTAAAGTGCTACATGTAATTAATATTGAAGGTTTGCGTGATCTAATGCACGATATTATAGAAACGATATTGATATTGTTGTCTTTAACTGAAACTATCAAATAAATCTTTTGATACAAAGTGATATTGTGAATATACAAGTACATTTGATTAGCTTTTCTGTTGCTTTAGACATTCCGATATTTAGTTTGACTTAGTTTAAAGTTTCAAATCTGTCACATTCACGTATGACCGCGAAGATTTGAAACCAATAAGCACCCCTGTCTTGGTAAAATCTTTGCAGACCGTTGTAAATTGGTCGCAAGTAAAACTCTCTACGAGGTATGATATAACTAAATATTTGAGATAACAATGTAAGTTAACATTTATGAAATGATTTATATCACTTTTACGTTATACTCATTTCAGGGTTCCCAGTAATACCTATTTACGTTATACTCATTTCAGGGTTCCCAGTAATACCTATTATAGCTTATACAGTTATTAGAATTACCAGAAACGACAAAAAGTAAGTCTAGATTCCAACCATTTCTGTCTAAATTCAAAGTGTCTCATCACTAGAGTTGGAACTGTTATTATTGAAGTTTTGATTGTCCGCAATTACGCCACGCCATCAAGACAGACCTTTGTTCTCATCGTGTTTTCGAAATATTAATATTTTCAGTTGCTGGGTAAACAATGCTGGAGATTATGAATGGATCGTATATTTACCTAATTTATTTTGTATAGCAGTAAGTAAGATTTTGATTGAAGACACCCCAATACTTGTCTTTGTCAATCGTTTCTCAATGCCGCTACTTCCCTAAGAACTATGATGAATTACCTATATACGACTTTGAATTTCAATGCAACCTGAACGACCTGGAATTTTTTTTACTGATTCCAAGTTGGAAAACGAGCATTTACCCTTGATCATCTGCAGGGCTATTGAACAATTGTGCAGGCGATTGGGCTGCTTGTGTTTTACAACCCGGTATTGATTCCGTCCAAGATGTGAACTGATTAAAGATGAATACAATGGAGAAATGATCTTAGATTCTTGCTACTTTAATGCTATACATAATTTTCTTTCAGTTTAATGTGTTTTTCCTGATGAATATTTTACGTATTTTGATGACCCAGTTACAGAGTCACCCTAATGAACCAAGTAACTACAGGTATATTATATTAAAATTATAAAAAGATGCACACATATTGTCATTTACCCTATCACCCGACATTTTGAGTGTCTTATAATGATAAAATTATTATTTATTTGCGGATTTAGGCTCCGTTTCATTTGCACGGTATTGCCACGTTGTAAACTTTGAAAAACCATTCACGCCTACTACAGCATTAGACTAATGTCTAGATATTACAACCTATTTAAAAATGCATTTGGTTTCAAAGGATTCAAATTGGACCTTCTTGTCGCCACATGCTCAACGTTCAACATGAAAGGTGAATTTTAACAGAAGTCCGTATGGCGACAGGCGGGTTTAGTTTTTTTTAACAAAGACACCAAACATAACCAAAGTTACCTGGTCGTTTATAACAGTGGTAGATTGCCATACACAGATAGTTTCATTTTTGTTTTTCCTCCGGAAAAGCCACATTTCGCAACGTACTTTGATTGACGTAAACTGAGGGGTTGTCGAGGAAACTGTCAGCAATTTCTTTAAATGGGTAGAAAATAAAACTATTTGAAGTCTAATCAAGGTGTGTCTGCAGGCATTCTAGTGTCTGGTTCCTTTCCAAATTACCTTCTGGATTAAGATTTATTTAAGATGTTAATGTTAACAGATTGACAAACCGTTGTATTTGACCTTTCCAGATTGACGTTCACGTAATGATTATATTCAGAGAAAAGTCTGGCAAACTATAATACATGTATTTTACTTGATGAACTCTAATTAGATATTAGCAAAGTTGAATAATTTGATAGAATTTCATGAATGCTCTACTTTAAATATCAATTCAAAATTCCTATTTTAAGTCATTGGCTTTGATTCTTATGATCAAAGGAAGTGGCTTCTTAAAAAACGGAATTTCATATTTTTTTTACAATTTATTATCTTAATGGAAATATGTCTGCAAAAACTTTTTAAATGAAACTAAGTTTTAATAGAATTAGAACAGTCTGATATATCACAACAGAAAAGGTGATCAAAAGTTTCCGGAAATTGTCTCACCAATGAATTATTCCTGAAAATAGTATGCACTAGCGTTGCATCAAATGACAAATCAAATAAGATCCGTTGCAACTGGAAGCGCAAAAAAGCCCATTGCTGTCATTTGTTATTCGATTTGCGATAACGTTTGCAGTATGTCAAAGGACACCCGATATACATCTCTTGCATTAGATTCGTACAAGGATATTTGCACAAACGGGTCCTATTTAGAATATAAACTTGAAAAATCCATCTATAGTCTGAGTAGAAAATAAAAAAGCAAGACTTATTCTGTCCATATTACATACATACATTAATATACATTAAGTGGACTACTCGTGTTTATATTTTAAAGTGGACCTGGATGTGCTAAAATATATTTGTTTGACTATACAACGTGAATGTTCTTCTTCAATTTCAGGTTTCCCTTTTGTAATCATATTCTTTAAAAACAATATTTTATTCACATTTACATGTGAACGGGATTCTGAAATAGCTCTCAATCTAGACATGGATTTATATATTTTATATAAAACTGTACACTCGCATACGATAATATATTTTGTTGACGTTGAAAGTGTTTGTCGTTTATATTTTTCAGACGTGCACTAAAAGCAACGTTTATACTAGTTCCTCTGTTTGGTCTTCAGTTATTTTTTATCATCTATCGACCACCATCAACATGGAGTGGATCGTTTATGTATGAAGTTATCTCTAAAATTGTCAATAACTTACAGGTAGAATTTATAATATCTTCGAGAGATAGTTCGCTTACTTACCGGTGTCTTCTACAGACATTGATAAACATGTTATAGATTTCACTCTGCAACCATGGAAGAACGTGTATTGATTCAATTTTATAAAAGTTTTCTTGTATACTGTTAGGAATTGATCATTGGAAAATATTTCAATGAAGCTTTAATATTGTGTTTCTTGTATTTCAGGATACAGTGGTGGCTTTAATATTGTGTTTCTTATATTTCAGGATACAGTGGTAGCTTAAATATTGTATTTTTCTTATATTTCAGAGTACAGTGGTAGCTTTAATATTGTATTTTTCTTATATTTCAGAGTACAGTGGTAGCTTTAATATTGTATTTTTCTTATATTTCAGAGTACAGTGGTAGCTTTAATATTGTATTTTTCTTATATTTCAGAGTACAGTGGTAGCTTTAATATTGTATTTTTCTTATATTTCAGAGTACAGTGGTAGCTTTAATATTGTATTTTTCTTATATTTCAGAGTACAGTGGTAGCTTTAATATTGTATTTTTCTTATATTTCAGGGTACAGTGGTGGCTTTAATATTGTATTTTTCTTATATTTCAGAGTACAGTGGTAGCTTTAATATTGTATTTTTCTTATATTTCAGAGTACAGTGGTAGCTTTAATATTGTATTTTTCTTATATTTCAGGGTACAGTGGTAGCTTTAATATTGTATTTTTCTTATATTTCAGGGTACAGTGGTAGCTTTAATATTGTATTTTTCTTATATTTCAGGGTACAGTGGTAGTTTTAATATTGTATTTTTCTTATATTTCAGGGTGCGGTGGTAGCTTTAATATTTTGTTTCATGAACGGAGAAGTAAGTTATGTATTTATTCTTAAATTCATGATATTTTTTCAGTGATCTTTGTTTTATATTGTATGTATAATAGTGACAATGCATGTGTAGAATTAGCTCCCGTAAACAAGTCAACAAGTTTCAAACTAGATTAGAATGGCCACATAGGCCTACCATATATTAGATGGATGTACGATTTATGTTCGAGCTATGCTATTTGAACACAGAAGTTTATAATTTGCACTACTTTCAGAGTGATAATAAACATAATTTAAATTTAGTCCTTCCCACTGCCATTGCCAAAATGTTTGTCTAGCCTCGTCTGTCTTTCAATTGCAAGAATTATTTTGTGTGTTATTTTTGTACAAACGCCATTATTTTAGGTATCCAAGGTTACCGGTCTAGGACCCAGTGTAAGAAGATTGTAAGTCCAAATATCAGGACAGTTCTGTAGAAAATGGCATGATTGCATTTTGGCATTAATTAATTCGATTCATAAAGAATTAATATTATTGTACTAACGTACAAATTAGGCTACTCCTTTTAAGATTGTTTCCACTTAAAACACCCCAGGAATTTGTGCATCTTGAGTGCATTTTTTGACCTTGCTTTGTGCATTTTAATTACTTATTACTTGTTCCTATATATTTACATGTGCCCCGTTTTCTTGTTTTCTACATTATACAATATTGCATGAGATATGAAAATAATATTTTTTTATATATTTAATGTATTCTTCATATCTTTTTATAAATCATTCTTACACTTTCCTTGCATTTCCGTTTTTTTTATAATTGAAAATTAGTTGGATTCTTTCGTCTTTCTTATTTCTTGACCTAATCAAAGTGAACAATTTAGTGTTTCAAAATCCATTTTCCTATCTTTGTACGTATGTCGGTGTGTTCCAAGCTTCTATTTGCACAAATCCAATTTACCATCCGGCATCTCTGAATCCAAAAATTCTTTTTTTAAAATACCGTGAGCATATTATGACGATATATACAAAGATTAGAAACTTCTTTTGAATCCCTTTAATATCGGTTTATTTGCCTTGCAACCATACGTATTACATTCTGTCGTTTTATTTTGATGAAGGTTTGTGAATCTTTCAGGTCCATTCGCACCTTAAGAATCTTATACCCAGGAAACTCCGAGGTAAACCCAAAAGATCAGAACTCAATCGAACTAATTCCTGTTCCACTCAATACACAATGGAAACAACAAGAGCGCCATCTATGCGAGCCAAAATCGCAGACGACAAACACTCGTACATTCCTTTGAATACTTTGGTGGATGAGTTCAATGTTTCGAACGGACAAAGTAATGCGTCTTCGCCGATAGTACGTAACAAGTGATACGTCAAAGTGAATCTCACGAAGTAGCACGTGATCTTAAATCCATGCAGAGATATTTTCAAAACCGTTAGTGTGGAAATACGGTTCATTTTCGAATGTATAGTAATGCTTTGGTCTTTCCTCTATAGTTCTAACGATGTACGCAGTTTTAGCGTGAATTTAGACATTCAATGTAACCAACAAACTAATATTTTCTTTTACGAAAAGATGGTTTTGTTTTTTTTAAAGAATATGCTTTGTCTATAATGTTCAGAAATAGCTTGAAAAGGATCCGGATGGTAAATACAACAAGCACAAGACTGTGTTGTATAAGATGAACTTATCTAGTTATTTCAAAATGAACAAAAGTAAGTGATCGTGATGTTTGGACCAAGAAAAGGTATGAATATGGACTCAGCTATACCAGTAAACTATTCAATTTTCTTGATTGCAATAATGTGGGATATGCTCATGTTCATTAGTTGTAATTATTTCGTTTGGTGGATATTTTCTATAATTTTTGGGCAAAATACTGTGATCTAAAACTTGCCCAATGACTCATTGTTTATTTGTGCTTTTTTCCATTTGAAAACTCAAATAGTTTTGTTTTATTTGTTTTTGAAATTTTTCTCAATTAGTCGTACCAGCAGTTTAGCAGTAGAATATACATCCATTTACTTTAATTTACCAGAGTGTAAGAGCCTATTCGACACTTATCTGAAAGCCAGGTCTGTTTTTTAATCAGATTACCGAGTATACTATCGCCAATGAACATATTCCCAATCATTGTTCGGTGTTATGTTCAATTGTTACGTTCGACGTTTTAAATTATTTACAATATAATGTTGTATATGTATATAATTTCATTATTTATCGTATTTGTTCCTCAACAACCCAGAACTAGTTAATTAAACAGCTCTCTTGTAGAATCCAAGTCTACTTAAGTTGCGGATGCATCATTGAAGTAGGCGTGCATCTTTACATTTTCCCAGCAAATAGCAATTTACCTGGGAGTCAGTGTTCCAGATGGTGGTCCACAGTTACCATGATAAACTCTTGATTGCAGGATTTGCTGCTATTTTGTGATCCAGTTAACAATTGGTTAAGGGTTGCTTCCCTTGTTATTCATTTCAGAATTTTACTCCTCTTGAAGTAGCCTGCTACTCTACTTTCGGTGCTGTCTTGTTTTGGCTAGGGCCAAATTTGCATTGTGAATTTTTCTGAAACGTTTGTTCAATAGAGCAGTCCGATGAAATCATCATTATTGCAGTGTTAGATGGTGATGAGAACATAGTCTCATGAAAGCACTGGCCTAGGTCACAAAGTAAAGATTTATGATAAAACAAGGTGCAAGTTAAAGGTTAAGATAATTAGATATGTTAGCTAAGGATGTCTCTGTAATACTATCTGTGGTAGTATCATTTCTTTAGCTGAAATAGCTGAAAATATAAGAGTCAACATTTTTCGGATATATCAATAATCATCTCAAGATAAAAACTGTATTGTGAAACAAAATTTTTTCATGTATCTATAAGAAAATAAGAAACATTAAGATGAATAGTCATCGTAGGAAATTCAAAAGAAAGGCTATTGAGGGTTAAGTCTACCATGCACTAGGAGCAGTATTGGTTATTTGTTGGAAATCGGTTGGGTTGCCTCCATTAAACTTGGTACAAAACATTAAGACGGGTTCTGCAAATTCATTTGCCATCTCTTCACATGTTGAATCATGCAATTTAACCCTGACTAACCTTTACCATAATTTATGACTTTTTCCAGAAATCTCGTCGAAGGATAGACTCACAATATCTGCAGGAAAATGAAACTTCAGACATCAAATTCCAAATCGAGACCATAAATTACTCAAAACTATGCATACAAAAAGGGAGGGAAAAGAGAATTTCTAAAAATGACAGAGACTAAATTCGCCCAAGTCCAAATGAATGATTGATTACCTGTCTTAAATGTTTGTTTCTCATTTCAACAAAATTCTTGATCTGCTTTCTTGTTTCTTGAACATTATTCTATACGCCCATTAAATGTGGAAATTGTCGATACTTGTAAAAACTAGATCTTGAAGATATTAGAACTGGATGATATTTAAATGAAGTGTTTTCAAAGTTATTGTCATGTTACAAGATTGTTAACACGTTCAAACAGAAAAATAAATGAGACAATAATGAGTAAATGTACTCATTTACGTGAGTTTCAATAAAACTACTCCTTTTAGACTCATTTGCAATTGAGTATGTATACTAAAATACGAACAATTTGTGACTACTCAGGAAGTATTTCGACTCTATTAAAAGGCTTTAAAAAAAAGGCTAAAAGTGAATTTAACGAATAATCAAGATGTTTTTGACTCATAAGCATGTGCTCATTTTTTTGGGCTATTTTGATTCAGTGGAATCGCTTTATAAGGTTGGGTCAATTGACTACATAGGGTTAAAAAGCCGTCTTGCACGAGTCAATACTGGATTCACTTTAGTTTTTTACTTTTTCGTAAAACTCTCTCACTGAAAACCTGTTTCTCTTTATAATTCACATACACGTTAATGACCGAGTCCATCTTACGAGTGAAAAGAGAAATCCATGTATATATTGGCTTGTATTTGAGCTTTTTCTTTCAATCTTGACACTAAGGTGGGTCTGAAAAAGAAAAAAAAATTCAATTCAATTTGATTAAAAAACTTATTATCACAAAAATTTAAATAGCAAAAACCATTAACCAACCTGTTCAAGGGAAAATGGGTAAAATATGATTTTAAATGCTTAATACGTATAAACCGAATCACCAGTACAGAAAAGGGGGCGTTTGTATGTGGTTGCTGAGATCTGAATAAAATAAAACTTGATGATCAAGTTTAAATACCACCGTGTCACTTTTGAATTACTTGTGGATGTAAAAGACTTTAAGCAACGCAATTGTTTTCTATGAATATTGTGTTTGCAAGTTATTCATTACATTTTGTTTTGTGAATCAAATTTTTAATTATCCAAAGATACTGGATTCAATTCTATATCATGTTTGTGTAACGAAACCCTTCACTAAATAAACCCTTCGTATAAATCGGTTGAAAACAAGACGACGTGATAATCGTTGAAGATAAAAATAAGATTGTTCAGATTCACAGTACGTTAGTGTGTTGGTGCCCCCTTGGTGACATTGCATAATATTATAGGTATATCTTAATGAAACTCAACAGTCGTAAAAGAGTCTTAACAATTCAACTGGACAAATTTTTTTATTTG